GTCGTATTACAGTTAAGTATACCGTTAAGCAATGCATTGAATCCACAAAATCCTACAAAAAACTAGTCCTTTTGTTGGCGCCATTAAACGTAAGTTTTGCATATTATAGAACCAAAAGTGGATTCAATAACGGTAAAATCACTGCTGTGGGATAAGCTTCAACATATCTAATGAGAATTTTTTAGTTTCCAAAGTCATGCTTCCGAAAGTAGGAAGCAAGCAAATTCCTTGCTTAAGATATATGTATAGGTTTGACTATAGCTGCTACACACATACTTCGCTTGAAAAATTTGGGCCACTTAACTTTTTGAATTTGGGTTTTTATATTAAGTGCATGTAAATCAGTTTTAATTTAATTTTTGGGGACTCATTAGACCTACAAATGTACCTTCGTAATATCTTTGTGAGAAGTATGCTGCTCAGTAGATCGCGTCATTATATGTACCTGTGAGTATACAGTTTATGGTGGCCCGAGAGTGTTTTTCATTCTGCTGGCGGTCTTTTGATATATGAACCAGTTATCGTTCAAGTGTAACGTATCGTTTGATTTACCGGTGTAGTAGAACACCGTGTTTAATTGCCTACAGTTTGCTCAGTTTTTATATGTTTGTATTCAAATTCACAAATTTATGGTATTCCTCTGGGTAGGGATCAACTGACGCTATTATTGTACTTACTCCGTATGTCTGAATGTCGTTTTCGGTGTTGGTACTTTAGTGCATCCCGCCATTAAAATCTCCTAAAATTATGGCAGATGCGACATTTTTACTTTAAATTTACCTTAAGCTGCTAATTCTAGTTGCTAACGCGATATTTGCACCTCATTTTTTCGTAGAATTTCTTTGGATCAAAGTTGGATCTATTAAAGCTCACTATTCACGGAAACAAAAATGTCTTAGTGAAGGTATTGGTAAAACTTGGAATTTGTGCTGGCCTCTTTAACCCAAGCCTTACCACCTTGATTTTATTTACCATTATTGTGGCTTAGTAGCTTTAAAAGTCAATGAAATACGTGTGCAGTTTTTCGGATCTACGCCTAAAATCAAAACCTACCTGTATCAAATACATCTATGCTCGTTACAGTATGCATTTTCTTTCAAAAATCATCTAGATTGGGACTTGATTAACCCAAACTACCTAAAAGTATGGTTATGCGTTACGTTCATAGTCTTAATTGATGGAGTACAAGCTGACCATTTTTGTCGTTGGCGGCCCTGTTTCTGCAAATACTGGTATTTGTCGGTGTGAATTTGGCAAAATTAGCTCCTCTAGGTTAACCGTACTCCAGTTTGAGATTAATCATTTTTTTTACCATAATATTAATTCATGTGATAATCGGGGCAAAATAACGCATGGAAGACTTTGAAATAGCCTTTATTTACTGAACCGTGTTTCTGGAATCTAGCAAAGATGCCTCAAAAGAGGTGCGAAGTCGGTTGGATGTATTGCGCAATGGAAAAGCCCTTTAGTGATCCCAAACCAGTGCCGCCGCTTTCCTCTATCCCCTTAATCGGCCTTCACCCCGAAGATTCGAAGGAACACGTCCAGAAGAGGCCATTCTCTAAATTACTCTCAACCGACACTCCCTTGATTCGCCTGCAGAAGCTGGGTGGACGAAAAGACCTCCTTTGTTTTTACAAAAACGAACCCCATAAAGATTCCAACGAGGTACCTTCAGAGTGCGTTCCAAACAGCCCGCAGGACAGCAAGCTCCCCTGTTCCGATTACCAATTTAAAGTGCCTGCTTATATGCATCATTCGGCGTGTATACTAAAACCACCTGCACTATCGACTCCGAAGATTGTGGACACCCCGTGTCTACCACTGTCGACAACGGGACGACCGAGGCAGAGGAAGAATAAGCCTTGGAATCTGTCACCTTCTCGACTCGGATACTCTGAGTATAACAAGACGGTGCCCCCACTTTCTTTCATCCGACGGGAGTACTTCTATCCCAGCACTAGCAGATACATAAGGGTGAGGTGGTTTCAATTTCCATCAGCCACACATTCGTCATCCTGACTCAAGAGTTATCTGCGGATAGTATAGAAGTGCTTTTCTATCTCAGGCATCTATTGCACTGACCTAGCTAAAAGCACGCTTGACAGTTTGTTCGGGTGATGGGACACTTATGGCCTGGCCATCCAGGAATAAGTTTCTTTATTGGTGTTATATTGCGCTGGAATTTTAGTCGCCCCCTACAATATCAAGTATTTTGCGTAAATGACTTCTTACTAATTCACTCATTCGCAGGCACGAGATTCTTACGGTTTTCGACTAACTCTCCCATTATATTTGCACTTGGTGATGTAGAAACTCCTTAAACCATTTTTAAATTGTTTTATGCGTTTTCTCTGCCCTGTTGTGAACAATTTTTTGCCCAACTAACCCGTTCTGCCCCCTTGAGTCCGTTCGGCACCAGCCTCCGTTTCTTCTCAAATTATTCGTGTTTAAATATGGTACTGAGTTGCCACTCCTTAATACGATTGCGGTTCGAAGCAAAACGTGTGTAGCTGTGAGTTATTGTCACAATCCCTTCTGCCATTCCTCCCTCCAGGCGTCGTAGCACCGCGTGTGCGCGCTCTCGTATGCCCTTACAAATGTCTTTTAACCAATCAACACTCAGCCACGATCGCTTCCCACATCACGAGCATTCCGACCAGATGTGGAAGCGCGCAGTGTCATGATGTTCCCTCCAGTCTGCATATTCCGTTTTTATGCACTCTTTCTTACTCTTCAGCCAATCATCACATTAACTGAAGTCACTTATCCCATTCCAATGGAGGTAACGGAACCGGTCGAATACAATGTTTATGAATCACGTGAGAGTTCCGTTCTTGCCGCAAAACCGCGTCTATTCAAAAGTCAGCGGGACGAGATCATGGCAACTATATTCAAAAACTACAAGACTCATGAAAGACCCACTGAATTGCTCAACGAATCCACCGTGGTAAAAGTGAACATGAAGATTCTAGCTATCTTTTCTGTCGACGTTCGGAATATGGATTACTACGTGGATGCACTTCTACGTCAAACTTGGGTGGATCCCCGATTGATGTGGGAACACCTACCTGAGCATGCAAGCTACACAATGCCTATTGTTTCGCCAAATCTGAAGGATCAAGTGTGGCTACCAGATCTCTTCTTTCGTAATGGAAAGGACGGTTATTTGCACAAGATGACTCTCCCCAATTACCTCCTTCGCGTTTACCCTAGCGGAAAAGTACTCTACAGTCAGAAAATTACAATGCGTTTCGCGTGTCAGATGGAATTACAAAACTTCCCTATGGACGAACAGGTGTGTGATATAAACATCGGTTCATACGGTTACACATTTCAAGAGTTGCGTTTTGATTGGACCGACCAAAACGCTCTCGAACTTACTAAAGATCTTCAAATCTCTGAGTTTTACACGCCCGCCAATTTCACCACTATTGACTGCACTGAGGAGGCTTCCACCTCCACCGGAAATTACACCTGCCTTCTGGTGAAGTTCCACCTCTCACGACAGTTGGGTAGTTACTTGGTGACTACTTACATCCCCAATGCCCTTATCATAATGGTTTCCTGGGTGAGTTTTTGGGTTCCAGCCGACGCTGCTCCAGCAAGAGTACCTCTGGGTCTGCTTTGTCTTCAGGGCCTCTGCACCCAAGCCGTATCTATAAGCTCAAGTCTTCCTCGAGTCTCCTACGCCAAGGCCATTGATGTGTGGCTCATATGCTCGATCATTTTCGTGGTCAGTGTTATGGCTGAATATGCAGTGGCGCTCACCGTTATGAACCATGAAAAGCTTATCTCTTGGCGTGTTGGTGTGCGGCGGATTGTCCGTGAGGAGTTGGCACGTTGGTGGAAGGCTGTCTATTACATGGAGATTTCAAGCAGCGCCAGTCGTGCCGCTCTAGTAACTAAGAGGCAGGCTGAAATGTTTGCCCATGTAGAGGCCGTCCTCACACATCAGGGGGATCTCCGGCCGCCTAATCAGACCCGCAAAATGCTTGGCGAGGTGGAGTCCATTGTAGACGGTTACAGTCGATTCATCTTCCCTGTTGCCTATCTCGTATACAATGGCTGCTATTGGCTTTACTACCTTGTTATCGTTAAACATTAGTGAACGAATATTGCTAGGTGGCTCAGATCCACACCCACCTACTCGCCCGCCTATCAATTCATGCACTATTGATAAATCTCGTCAAATTTATTGTTGTCGTCGTAGGTAGATTTGTCTTCCCTAAAAAATGCACTGTTACGCATGTTTTCCTTTTCAAATTGATGTTTTTTAGGAAATATCTTATTTAACTTCAAATTAGGATTTTCTTCCGCTTTATATAATTTAAAACTAGCAATTACCACTTGTATTTCGACCGTTTAGTTGGCGTTTTCAGTAACGTATGCAATATTTCCTTTGTAAAAGCGACACATTGAGTGAAATTTTGTACTGGAGAGGAGCTTGCGTGCTTCTTTTCATTACTTTCGTTACGTTACTTTATCGGCTCTAATGTTATCACGCAATAATTAAAGTTTGTAAGCTGTTATAAATCCTTATAACTTCCCCAACCTTGAAACCGTCGGAAACCTTCTGTCCACTCCAATTTCACCTCTGATTCGAATTAAAACGACAAATGTTTGTGCCAAATATTTGTCTTTTCAAATATCACCTTCCAGATTTTAATGGTATAGGAGTTTCTAGCTTATAAATTTTGTTCTAAACTGCACTACCGACTTAGCACTCACGGTAGAGACTGCATCTTGAAGAACAAGAGTTCCCTTTTCGCTTGAAAAGATTAATTTTAGCAACCCAAATTAGTTAATGATTCTTTGAGAAAAATTTTCGTACTTCTCCAATCACATTCGAGTATTTTTATCACTATAGGAATATTGACTTTCCTTAGGTGGTAGGTATGGTATACCAGTTATTCTTTTAAGGGATTTTGCAGTATCTCGAGTTTTCGCTGAATTAGCAGCGAGCCGAAGCACTGTGAAATAACATATGTTACAAGCTTTGGGAGGGTTGGGAAGCTGTCAACGTGACTCGAATGTCATGCCGCAGAGCAGAATTACAACTTGTGGAGGCTCAAGTGCCCGCCTGGTCCAGTACACAGCTAAACAAAACATCGGGTCACTTCATAATGGCATATTGCTATTGTAAAGCCGAGTTATGTGCCAAACACTTCCCATCCCCTAAAATTCAATTCATACTGATGAAGGTATTTAAGTAACATGATGGCTGTAACTTTGCATGTTGGTAGTCCTATTGAGTGCGCCTCCTACACTTACTAAATCGTGTTTTTTGACAAGTATGAAAGGCACTAGGGATTGGCATATTCTCATTCCCCATTTTCGGATTGGTAGACCCAGAAGTTCGCAAATAAGTTCACCTACTCCAGAATGTTGGTCCTTCTGGCCCGAAACTGTCGGGTCCACAGCGTAATTTGGTCATTTTGCTTTTGCAGCACAATCTCCCGAGCCAACCCGACAGCCTTGCCGATCTTCTGATCCACAAGTATGCTGAGGAAGACTATCGAATGCAGAAAAAGTTTTGGAATGACTACCTAAGTCAATTGAAGGACATCAATTGCTGTCAGCCAAGGCCCGTGAAAGTCATCACTAGCCGATTCAGTCCCATACCTAAGAGGTGTTAAGTACCTTTGAGACATTGCCCATGGCAATGTGTTTCATTTCTCCATAACAAGAAAAGTGTATTATCATTCGTGCGACTGCCTATTTTTAAATTGTAAGTAGGGCTAAGGATAATGAACGGGCTTGACGTTGTTAAATTTAATGGTATTAGCTGCTGGTCTTCTCGATCACATATGTGTGTTAAGAATGTGCCGCCTCTATTCCATTCCGTTCCCGTAGCCTTTGTCTTGTAAATCTAGTATTGGGAAAGAGTTGGAAAGTGCACGACCTCACGCAGAAAACGCACCATGATTGAGAGCCACTCTGTTGGTTACGTACAATGGCCCTGGGAGTGTGTCTTGTGCAACCTCTTGATTCCATTCAGTCGTAGAGCTGCAAAACTACTTTACACATGACTTTTGGATCGAGTGCAAAGGCAGTAGAAAAGTAGTAAATATTTTCGAGTATCAAACAGGTTGAAGTTGCTGAGACGGTATGCTACAGTTTGGCCATTTCTGAAGTCGACAAAAGTGCCAGGCTGCGTTTCTCAAATGATGGAGCTGTTGACAACGTCATTTCGCCTGTTGTGCGCCAAGTCAATCAATAGACAGATGGTTGTGGCGCATTGCTTTGATGATTTCTAAGCGAGATTGAGGCTTAAGCGCATTCATACTCAAATCCGGTTTACTAAGCTGTGACAGTCTGGCACCATCCTATTTTCAAACCTCTTCATCCCACGAAAAGAACATGTGCCTCTAGACAAGACAAATTCGCCCGCATAGTTTATCGGAATAGTCCATATTTCAAAAAACCATTCCCAACACAACCCCGGCAGCATCATTTTAGAACTTCAAAGTAACCCATAATACGGAAGCTGGAATTTACCAGATTGAAGTATCTGCGCCAATGTTTTTCACCATCCGGTAGTCGGATGACCTCCAGTTCATTTGCGCAGCCTAACATTTTCATCTAAATTACAGGCCTGCGAGAAGAGCGGTTCCCCGGCCGGGCAGTGACTCGTGGTAAACACCGTAAATGGATTGAAGGAAGCTTATAAAAACACAAAAACTACGGAAAATTTAAATTCAAGCCAGTTCATTTAGGATTACTTTAGAAGTCTTCCAATAAATGACGAGGCATTTAACACACCAGGCAGTTCCCAAGTCCCTAATCGGTCATGTGATCAGACCTTAACCACAGGGGTCATCCCCATCTGGCCAAACCCGTGATTCACACAACACCCCATGTGTGTGCGCCAATCAACAACGAGGACGAACCTCCCGCACAAACGAACAAAATCCAGACACACTAAACTCAAAATTGGACACACTGAGCAAACCCACAAAGGCACGCACAGTGAGGGCGACAAACTTGTATTTGCGTCCGCATGCGCACACGTACGTACGCACACAAACGCGTTTGGCAAGCACTGCTGCGATGTATCGATTTTTTGCAATCAGGACGGCAGGCGAAACGTCGCATTAGGCATGTGAACACACCGGCCACCGGTGCATAGCGGAGGCAAACGAACCAATTAGATACTGGCGCAGGCCAGGGATGCGCTAATCTGTAGGCTTACACGCACGCATATCACTGTTGACGCCCTCTGTTCCCGTTCATGCACATAATGTAAACCGTCTAGCCGCTTTGGCCTGGGCTTTAGCGACGCGTACGGGGAGTGGGGATTTAACAGCCAGCAGCATCTGCAGTTGGGCTGGTGTGAGATGTGGCATGTGCTTTGCCCAATATCCCGTTTTATCAGGCAGGGGATTGGCTGTGTGGAAAACGCTTCCCCGCTTGCGGATGGTCTCAAAACACGCTGCTCAGCCACACTAGTGCATCTTCCAGCAGCGCTTCAATTGGGGAATTTAATAATTAGGAGTCCATCTGTCGATATACGCAATTGGAGGTTGTGGGATCGTGTATTACATTGGCTCTTCCCTATCAAGAAGATATCAAGAAGAAAGATTAATCGTCACTGCAATGGTCAAGTTGGGTTCTGGGATGCCATTGGGTCGTAGGGCGTAACCTTGGACAAAGTAAACAAATGGACTCGTCCTGCGACACCCATCAGTGTTTCATGATTTAACAGCCGAAACTTGAAATACATGGTTGGTAGTGTAATTTGGTAATGCGGAACTAGTCGTATTGACTATCTTGAAGTCACATTTTGAGGCTTGACACGTCATGTCGGCGCGTGCTTTGGAACGAGTTAGTTTGGCAATAGACGTGCCCCCTCCAAACTGGGCCTTCGCGTTGCTGATTGGTCCATCAAGGTGGCCCCGGCACTACCGTGAATTAAAGCCAGGCTCGGGAACTGATATCGTGTTCCAGTTGAAGTAAGGCATCCACTATGCTAACCATGACAAGATCGAGTAATTGCACTAACATGACGCGCGTCAGATTCACTTTGAGGGTGAAACTCTGCAAGGGATGGCACCGCACTCACCCCCCCCCAACCCGCAACCTACAGCTACGTGAAAGGATGAGGGCCCGAAATTGCCCTCGAGTCCCACGAACGCAATCCAATTGCCGTCATTTACAACACGCCGAGCTAGGACAAGCCTCAATTCACATCCGATGTGTCCAAGACCTTTGAACAGCTGTTCCAAGGGGTTGGATGCAAACATCTTCAAAGGCGAATTTCATCATCTTTCTCTCGAGCCTGCATCTGGGCGGTACTTGGACGCGCTAGCGGCCGGGTGTCGGAATGGCTGACTAGCCTGCGGCATCGACACGACCAACCTAAGACTGCACGTTCGCGGTGCATAGCCGGCCATAGTGGTCTCTTGGCATCGACCGACCACCTCCATTAAAAAACCGTACAAAGCCAAACGCCAGGGTACACCAGAACTCAAGTATGGTCGAAATGCACATCAGGAGCGCGGCGTAAACGAAGCTGGCGAAGGCACCCCAAACAAACCCGAAGAATGGGCGTCAACGACTTCCGCGACCCACGCAGAGCATTCGCACGCCGAGAGGCGGAACGAGCGACGACGCCACCCAGGCGAACCCACAGCGGCGCCCAACCTGGAGGCCAAACAAGTAAGAGAGCCTGCACTCAGAACCCAGACCAAACAATGCCCAGCGTTACAGAGCAAAAACCTACCCGCGTGAACGCCAGCCCCGATGCACTCTACAGACCTACAAACCAGACATCTCGGACAAAACAAGTGGTGAAATTCGGTCGTTCGAGCTGCCAGCATGTGTCCCAAGCAGGGCTGTGATACTCCCACTGAGTAGATCACCACCCTTGGGACACCGACTGACAGCAAAAGAGCAAAAAAACCGACGGTAGAAGACGCCACTCGTTCATCAATATTGGCTGTGACATCGCAACCCGTGTCTACAGGCAATGTTGACGACGAACAACGCCCGTAATCGGGATGGTCAAAGCAGCATCTTAGGAAAAGACGGAGTAGCAAGATGCTCGATTCCTCTGTATCTCACTACCATCGTCTTTCACGAGATGACTGCCAAACGCGCGAACATGAAGCGTATAAACGCATAAAACATGAAAGGAAAAAGCGTGAGATAGGACGACACCAAGACCGCACCGCAATACCTCAAGCAGTGACTGAGCAAAACACCACAGACGTGATCATCTCTGCACAACATGTGATGCACTTAAACAATACAGTGGAACAATTAAACAGGTCGAAAAACTGCCTTAAAACTCAAAAAAATACGTGCAAAATGTAAAAAACTCTGTGGTTAAAATTTGAAACTAGGACGTGCATAATTTGCTTTGTAAGTTATATGGTTAATGAAGAAAATCATCTACGGCTAAATGCCGAAAAAAGTAAGAATAACCTTTCAGTCACATTTGTAAAAATTGCAGACAATGATCATGGCTGCGCTGAAAAGTCAGAATTTAAAGGTCCTTTATTTAACAAGTTGTTTTGCATTGCCGAGTTTATCCCTTTGTTTTGGTGAGGGGCCAACTTTGACTTCGCCCCAGTACCGCGCCGGGTTGGCTGGACTTCGAGTCACGCTGGTAGCCGTAGTACCTTCCCTATGTCGAGTATGTATGTACTACCCGAGTATTATGTCCTCTTCTGTATTCGCGGGGGTCACAGAACCCTACATTGTTGGCAATGGAAAGCGAACCCGATTTCAAATGACATCTATCCTGATTCTCAATGCTGAGTGCCGAACCTTAGCGGAGCAAGAGAGGTACATATACTACAAATGGGAGAATGGTATTGACCCCTAAGCATAAGTGCCGAAATTGACGTCGACCTTCGGCATCTATCCCAGTCCCGTATTCTACAGGAAAACTATTAACAACTGAAGCTTGACTAGCTGTGAAGCATCTGGGATTTACGTTACAGACTTTTCCTACCATACCTACATGTAGCTGTTGATAAGGTGGATTCACGTTATCTTCTCCATTTCCTTACTAGCTGATTGGGGCCTGGGCAGCTCCAAAGTGGAAACAACGCGGTGAGGAGGAGCGGACGCGAAACCCTTTCCCCATGGACCTGTATTAAATCCCGTACTTCCTTACGCTAATCTGCTTTTACTCCAGTGTGTCTACATCTCTCTATGGGAACACAAGATAACCGGTACAATTACCGTTCCTGAATCAAATCCTCAAACCGGACGAAACTGCTGATCCAGTTAAATTGTTAAGAGGGATCAGTGACGTTGCGGTCAAATATCTCCTTAGTTGCATAGAAACTTGATGACCGACGCGGCCGGACTGCGGGTGTGTCTTAACAGCATTGATTGCGTTGCGATGGCTGACGCGAGAGGTTGACCAAGAGGAGCGCCGGTGATGACGCTCAAAAGAGGAGAGGGGCTATGTAATACGATGGTTGTATATCTCCCGGTTCTGGTTAGGCGCCCATTTTGGCTTGGCTTTTGTACTACGCCGGGCGGGCTGGCTTTCGGGCCATGCCAGTAGCCCAAACACCTTCTCTGTGCTGAATACATATTCTGCCCGAGTACTGTGTCTTCTTTCGTCTTCAGGGAAGTCTCAGGAGGCTGCGATACACTGGTGCGAAGACTTGATGGATAGGCAGTCTGGCGCACAACTAGGTCATTGCTTGCAATGGTCGGCTTTTAACTATATGCTAGCCGATTAATTCCAAAGCGTTGAATGGGATTTAGGGCCTTCCATCTGGCTTTAAATATTTGTGGCTGGAACAATGTGCGCATAGGTCAGTTTAGCCTAAACTGAAGAGAGGCAAGTCCAAAGTACCATCCCACACTTCTGATTTGCTCATGTAAAGTCGTCGTCATGATGAGC